CGAACTCCCAACTCTTGAGCCACGATCGCCTCAATAACGGTGTTACTAACGTTACTTTTTCCAGTAACGAGTAATCTAACTAATTACTATTTCTATCGTTACAATGCTGTTAACTAGAAAATGTGGTGCGGTCGCTTTACTATTTTTCAACAAACAGACGGTTGAAGCTGTCTTCAACCTACCGCACCTTATATCAAGCCAATCACATGACCACATGAACATTGTGTTGATAGGCTACGTAAGACCAGAGTCATGATAAACAATATGTATGCATGTTTTTTCCTGAATAGTTTTGTCACATTAACTGTGATTAACAGTAACTGATTTACAAACGGTAACTGATTTAAACCAAGCAGAAGACTAGAGAGTTGTCTGTGGCTCTATAGTGTAGGTGTAGGGGTTTACACACTTGCCTAATAAACAAAAGGTCCTTGGTTTCATTCTGAGAGTAGACACAAATGGGGCTTCAAATGGCATAAAAACTAATAAAATCTGTCTCACTAACCACTTTGGAAACTTGTGACACGTGAATGTAGCTTTAAAAACGTCTATATAGCATGTTAGACAGCCCAGTTTGAAAGGACTGATAGCTTGTGCCAAGGAGGTTAATTATCATTTGTATAGCTCTTTTGTTTAGGACTTTTAACAAGCAGTTAAGGACAATTAACCAGGTATATTCATACACACTTAACTGACTATGCAAAATAAACCATTGAAAGGCCATTGTTCCTTTGGAGCCTGATTCCCTAAAAGGAATCTATAGCTAACAGCTAAACGAACTATAACGCTAGCATTAGTGTCGGCTCTACAAAGTATTTCTGGTACAATACAATACAATGCGAACAGCGACACTGAAACTAAGAAAAAAAAATCCTAGTCATAAAATAAAAAGCTGATGTATCAAAATCACTTACCAGCAATAACACAGGGTATCAACAGCAAAAGCAGCAATAGAAGGTGTGATGAAGGCCGAGGCTTACTGAGGCTTACGGTCCTGCTACCATACTTTATCTAGAAAACATTAAGGAAAGTCTCAATAGAGCAGCAGGTCAGAGATTTTCAAAATATTATTCATACAGTAAATATCATGATGTCAAACAGGCTGTAAATACTGTTGTACAAGGATAGTTGACGTTATGTTAAAAGCAAAGAGCAGTTACATCATGCATCCATTCTGATTGATTGTGCTCCGCGTGAAGCTCAGTGAATAAGAATATTTATAGCACTATTTGTCTTTGAACCTAATCACTTGATATTATATCTGAAAGATATCATTTCAGTGCCTAAACCATTAGCAGAGTACTGCACCGTGGAGCTCTTATCACAATGATCCAGTCTTTAAGTGATGACATATGAACCCTGCTTCC